CATTATATTTGTATAGTGCTTTACAATTTAATAAGTTTTGTTATAATATTATTTCTTTAATTTCCCCAATAACCCTATAAAGTTTGCTGTTTCCTGTCTATAATTCCTGCTCTTTATATGTAAATACAGTATTATGTTTTTAAACTAAAGTTTACTTAAGCCAGAGCATTCGCATGTCCAAAAAGAATTTCGATAAGGATTTTGCTCAAATCTTTATCAAGCAAACACCAGATGCAAAATACACACAAACTGAAGCCAAAGTAATGATTCTCAGTCACCTCTGGCTCAGGGGTTTCTTCAATTTCAGGATTTCGGAAGTAAAAGCCCTGGGCTGGGAAGGCAGGGGCTGTCTTCACCTACCTCACTGCCCTAGGATGTGGCTGTCCCTTTTGAAGGGACATTCTTCCTCGGGAGATGCTAGCGCTATGGGGTTAGATTAATCCCTCAGAATGGCACGAGAGCTGCAGTCTGCACGAGCGTTTTACCTTATCGGCCTGACGCATGTAGCAGTAGAGAACGCCTCTCATGCACTTCACGGCCGAGTGCTCCAGCTCGTGGGCCCGCCCCTTGTCATCGTCGATGCGCCTGGGTGACAGAGATAGCTCGTGAAAGAAATTGGAAAGGGATCCGGAAAGGAAGCAGAGCTTTGATAATTAAGTATTTAACTATCTGGCTAATCCCACGTTCTGGCGACATCTACGAATTCTGTAACAGTGAAACTCCATTTTCCCAGCAGATGTAGAAATGTTGCAATAAAAAAAAAAATGATAAAACTTGTGCAGATTTCTCCTTCTTTTAAGGAAGTAAGCTAACAGCTTTAAAAATAGCATACAATATTTTCTCCATCGACTTGGATGAAATTTTAAAGGATATTTCTGTATTGGTAAAATCTACCGAAAGATTTTTGAAACTCACTGTTAAAGGGTAGAGACAAGTTTTAATATCAATCCCTTTAGGTTCTGCAATGGCCACTTGGATTCAAGGAAGCGCGGATTAAGGCGCGGATGCCAGGGTGGGCACTTTGGTCACGGATGCCTGCCACTAAACACACATCCTGTATGACGCATGATGGATTCTGGCGTGACAGTTTATATTCTCAGGTCTTAGTTTAAAACCAGCTGACCACGGTTCACATCCCTCGCTTTTTACCAGCAAGAACAGTTCAAATCCATCTGTTAAACTAGGTTAAGATGTTCTTCCATCCTTAACTTCCCTTTGGTTATGGATCAGTGATCCTCAAGAGGTGGCTGGGAGTCACCCACTACTGAAAAATAGAAGTAGCTAATTCATTGTTTCACTAAATCCTAAAGTATCTGGCGATCATCCTCACTTGACAAAAAGCATCATCTACCTCCTTACAAAGTATGCAATAATGCCCTCCCCTTCCGACTGCGTCTCACACGCCACTACCGGGGAGAATGATGGTCACTGTAACGCGGTGTGGTGCATGTCAGTAAAACGTCAAGCTTTTGTCATCAGAACGCCATTCCTCCTTTCGCATGGTGGCGCTGCAGTAAAGGCAGCGTGATTTTGCTCCATGCTCTGTTTTCACCCGGACGTCAGACACGAGTGTTTTAATGGAGGCGGACTGCAGCATGGATGGTGACAGTGGACCAGACACTGACATGGGGAGCAAGCGGCACAGCTGAAGCATAATGAGCTCAATGGAATGTTCTGTGTACAATTCCTACCGCATGTAAAAAATAACAATAATAATCAGGGAACATTTCAGGTTTTCTAAAACCGTCTTTAATATAATTCGCTGCCCCTAATTTCACTCAACAAGCATTAAACCAAGACTAACGTATTCTAGAATAATTCGGCCATGATAAAGAATTTTTCTATTTTGATGAAATTCTCCTGTTTCCCCTTTTTTCTGCAAATAAAAGAGTAACACTAATATTTCTCTTCTGACTGAGAAGGTAAAAGAGCCATTGCACTGGAGCAGAAACATTTAGGCCTCAGGATATATTTCCTGCCTTTCCTAAAACTTTAAAGCGAACCCAGTGATCCAAAATAATTCTTCTATTTTCTTCTCGGAATTGACAATTCTTTTTTTTAGTAAGCTCCATGGCTGCAAATTCAAATTTTAATATGATCTGAAGAATACTTTCAATTTTTAAAAATAAACGAAACAACTTTAAATTTAATTCTAGTCAATTTATTGATCACGAGCTCTGTGAAAGTATTGATCAGTTATTTCTACAATATGAGGTCTTTTTTATATCTAAACCAAAATTTCATACATAGAAATACATAACTAGTAAAGGAAGTAGACACATGAATCCTACCATTGGTGTATTATTTCCATAGGCGAACGTCATGGAAAACATAATCAGAACAGTATTGGCAGGAACAGCCGTGTGACTTCACTGTTCACCAGCACTAACTAGGGCCGCCCATGAACTCAGCTCCTGAAACTGATGATGTATCGCTGGGAGGGAACAGAGGGCTCTCTCGCAGGAAGGCACCCTTTGTCCCCCTCGGCCAGGGCCACGAGGTACCACGTCCACGTTTGCCTTGTTTCAGTTTTTCCAATGTATACACATTTACCCAGTCTAAAAGTGCTCTTCCAAGTCTATACTCTTTTAAAAACTCACTACTCTTTTCAAACATAAAAATAAAGAAAACGAAGTTCCATTTAAATTTAAACCCTAATTTACAGTCATGTGTTTTTTTCCAGAAGTCGTATTAGAAGCAAACAATGCAAAAACCCTAGATGATACTTTTTAACATGGCACAGAGTACAGGCTCGATTTTCTTTTAACGGATTTTGTAATACTGAACCATATAAATGAAATACTAGTATTTCTAAACTAAAATTCTATAATAATAGTTATAATTATAAGAACAATAAAATGTAAATATATTTAATATTAATTATAACATACAATTACATAATTACATATTATGTACTAGTAAAATTTAAAATAACACACTTTCAAAACTACAACTTTGAGTTCAATATTAGCTATGGGTTTGTCACATATGGCTTTTATTATGCTCAGATATGTTCCTTCTACATCCACTCCATTGAGAGTTTTTATCATAAAAGGATGTTGAATTTTGTGAAATGATTTTTCTGCATCTCCTGAGATGATCGTATGGATTTTTATCCTTTATTTTGTTAAAGTGATGCACCTGTCAGGTGTGTAAAGCCTGCTGGAAAAGGTCTCTGCTCTTGCACTTTTTTAAGCAATTTTCCTTCAGAAAAGTTTCAAATCTATAGAAAAGCTAAAATTTTATACATACAAATACATTAGTAAAGAAACTAATAAACATTTTACTCTTCACATGGATTCACCAACTGCTAAAATCAGCTTGTACTCTCCACAATTTGTTTTCTGTACTATTCAAAAGTAAACTACAAACACCATTACCCCCACACACTAGACATCTAAAAACAAGCACATTCTCCTATATAATATCATTATCACACTGAAGGAATTTAATACCGATACTGTATTATCTATTATATCTATTATATCTATTTAATACCGATACTGTATTATCTATTATCTATTACTGTATTATCTATTACACACTAGACATCTAAAAACAAGCACATTCTCCTATATAATATCATTATCACACTGAAGGAATTTAATACCGATACTGTATTATCTATTATATACTCTATTTCAAATTTATTCAATTATCCCAAAATATACTTTATAGTGTTTTTAATGCACGACCCTTGATTGGACTCAATGGATGCTCACGCACTGTATCTAACTGTCATATTTCTTTAGTCTTCCTTAATCTCACCATCTTCGCACCTATTTTCTGATCTTCTATGACAGCCGCAGTTTTCAAGAGCGCAGGCAAGGTGACTTACAAAGAGCCACACCCTGGCTTTGTCTGGTTGCTTATTCGCAGGCAGATTCATCTAAAGGTTTCGGTAAGAAGTCAACATGCGTTATGTGTGATTACGACGGCAACGCATGGGGCGCACGTAAGGCCCGTCCACCCCGGTACTGGCTTGACACTGGCTGAGGCGCCCCCGGTGCCCCCTGTACCCGAGACGCACAGTAGCCGACATTTACTGAAGCTCCACTGTGCTTACACAGAACATGCGAAGAAATGCTTGCAGTGACATTAGCGAACAAGAGTGCTAAAGGCGGCTACTTCGTATTATCTCGGCATTTGATTTTCCTTTACAAATCCAACACATCGACGATGAACCACCAAGAAATCACTTTTATGTAGAAGACACAAACTGCACATCAGAAGTCCCTGCATATATCACCTTCGGAAAATTAAGGTTCAGAAGCCTAATCTTAGTAACGGTTGACATGTGTCGCTACTGACCGTGTGTCGGGACCCACGCCGGGCCCTCCCCATACAGAATCAAATGAAATTAAGGAGAAATTTTGTATTGTGAAAGGATTTTCTTTTTTTCCTTTACGTTATAACTGACTTACAACCAGGTCTAACAAGCGATCCCCCAATGAAGTGCAGTGACAGACACTAAACGGGGGGCGGGGGCGAGTCCGGGACCCGGCTCTGTCGCTAGCTGCGTGTGCGACTTCCAGCGAATCTTTTAACTACTCTGGCCCAGTTTTATCATGCGCAAGTCAGTCGCCGCCAGTTCCCTCTGTGACCGTCACCAATCCGCTCAGGGAGACCGGGCGGTGCCCGCCGCCAGAGACTAATGCAGACTTACAGACCTACAGGTGAAGAATTCCGGCCGTAACACACTAACGGCCTCCCCTGAACCCTTAGGAGAACTGAAAGGTTGAGAGGCCAAGGAGGAGATGAGGGCCGGCACAGGCCACACAGCGAGTCGGCGGCAGGGCGGGGCCTGGGTGGACCGAGACCCCGCCCTTTTTCAGGGCGCCCCGCCCCAAGGCCCAGGCCCCGCCCCCCGGCTACCTGTACGCGAGGGCCAAGGCCCAGGCTGCCGCGGCGCAGTACAGGCTGTCCTGGATCTTGGCCTTCGGGTCCCCTCCGCAGGTTTTCGTGGGAAAGAGGCCTGTGGTTGGGCTCTGATACAGCAGCAGTGTCGACTTGACTGCAATTGGAGACAAGAAAAAGAACGGATAGCACAGCCGCCCGTGTCCCGGGGCTTCCGCGGCCTCGGCCGCTTCTGACAGCTTCGCCGTTTCTAAACTTAGCTGCGGCATGAACCTGCTGAAGCCGTAGAAACAACTGCTCCTCACAGCATCCCTCAAGCCGTCATGGCTGCGAGGACAGTAAAAGGGGAGCATAAAAACACGCAGGGCATTCTGACCGCAGAATTCTGACCACAGTAAGCTGAATTAAGGTCTTACGTGAAGTTGAAACAAAAGAAGTCCTTATCTTAGGGGAGATAAATACATCAAATTTTATGTTACTTGCCATACTCCACCAAGTTCACGGGACATAAAGCAAAGTGACAAAAGCAGGCAAATCCAACTTATGGCCCAATGAACAAAGGGAAGCCCCGTACACACGTATCTCAGAGTTGTTTACTCGCTCACATTAAAAAACAAAAGTTGCCAGACTGATCTTGGTAAAAACAAAATGAAAAACAAAAAGCCGGAAACCTGATATTAGTAACAGCAACCTGATGCCCTTCTGTATCTCAATGAGTTAGAAATGGATGTCAAAGGTTCAGGGCTGCCTAGGAGCCAGGTGTGAGTGAGTGAGCAAGGAATATTTTGTTTTTATAAGTATTGAGCAAGAAACAGCCCGTAGTTCTCAGGACAGATATGACTTGTTGGATTCCCTTTACAGTCCCGGTTTCAACATGCAATTGTAGCATAAGCACTAGGCCCACCTACCACGAAATCCTAGTGAGAGAGAAACGCAGTCCCACAATGCACATAGCAGAACTAAGGCACAGTAAGTGGTGATCCCAGCCACATAAGGACGTGCTTTCTCGGATTTTACTTACCAATTTTGTAATAATGATCCAGTTTATTCCACAGAGTTTCATTATCAGGTCTCGGAAGATCGATGCTTTTAAGAGGTTCATAAACTGAGCCTAAAAAAAATGAAAACTCATCAAATTCAGTCATTTTACCAAATCAAGAAAACTTTTAAATAAATAAAGAAGCACTACTTAGCAATCTAATTTTCATTTTTATATGGGAACTGCCATATTTCACTACTGTTGCAGGAGAGAGAAATCACCCCCCAACAAGCATAGAAAGGTCTTAACGTTAGGGCACACCCTTGCCCTCACCCCCGCAGGCAACCCGGCTAACTCTGTCTACTGGTCCCAACAGCTCGAACATCTCCAATACTCAAGTGCTAGTCGTCAGCTCAATAATTTCAGTTCCTTTTGAGAAATCTATATCTTCTAATGTGCCCTGAATTCCAAACTTTTATCTCCTATGTTCATGCTTCTTCAGGCAATTTTCTGCCCGACAATTATACCCCAAAAAGCTCAAGGAAAAGATAACATTGACAACCCAAAGTCATCCACTCCACAAAATATTCAGTTTTCACACTGAAGTTCTGAAGCCTCCGCTTTCTCCTAGGTAGATAATATTCTTTTGCCTTATTAGCTGGACTATAAGCAGAAACCCTTTCTACTTCTCAGCCATAAAAACTATTCCAAAGCGTTAGCAGAGCACACTGCTCAAAGGCTACACAGTACACAATAATCATGATAATCTGCCACAAAATGGCTATAGGGAAGTGGTTCACTTGACTAGTGCGCTTTCTCAATTGTCGAGTGAAAGGAAGACATCTGACCCTTCAGCCATCAGCCTAAGTACTGTCTGTCATTAAAAGCACTCAGAAATCATAAACTCAAGGTCACGATTAATCCCCTTCTGGGTTCAGGGACTGCATGTCACGTGGTCGCACAACAGAGCACAGGACTGAACCTGTAATTTACCTGGGTTGGGGGGATCGTGTTGGCATGCATTAAGAATCTGTCGCTAAAAGAAATTGAAGCATTTATGTTCATACAGTTGCTGAACGCTAGTTTAAAGCCAAGGTGCTGGCAATCTCTTTCTGTTCAGGCAGATCGTCAGCATGATGAAGCAAGGAACGGCCCTACACATTCAGGCAGCACTCGATCACCTTCCGTTAGAGATGATTTGTGGATAAAAATAGGTGATACGAAATACTCAGCTCTCAGTGAGGAGATGTTCTAAAAAGGAGTCTTCGCGACGACATCAAAATGGCCCTATAATGAAGACTGGGGAGAGTCTGTCACTGCTCGTTTGATAAAAATGGGACCGTGAAATGCACCCATGCTTGCATCCAGCTCCTGTCACTCAGTGGCACTCACAGAAACCACTGCAGGCGACAGCCCTGTGCCACGGCTGCCTATGTTCCAGGGCGCTGGTGCACGGTGACTTACTCAGCTATTCCCCTACCAGTGGGTACCCAATTCGTTCCTATTCTTCCCATCATAAACAATGCTGCAAAACCTCCTTATATATGGATATAGCCACTAACACACCAGAGACAGCCAGTACCGGCTGGGGAGAGACAACCGTTAAATTTTCATAAATTTGGGTGGGGAACTGGTTATAAAGCACAACCAAAAGTAAAATTAAATTATATAAACTTACAACTAAATAATTATTAAAAATAAAAGTAATATTCAAAATAATACTAATTTATTTTACCACATTTTACTGTCATATACGCTCTTTAATTTGTTTCCACTTATGTATCTGCACCCTGGAAATAGCATATTCCTGAACGTTACAACACACCTCTTCCCAACTCTGCATTCAGTGGCGTCACGCAGAATTGAGCGGTCGCAACTCAAACCATACAGTCTGCAACGTCTACAATGTTTGCTATCAGCCCCTCATAGAACAAGGGTGCCCATCTCTCATCTAGATTCCCAGGAGTCGTACTGAATTAAATGACAAAACGTACTTTTTACGAGATAATGACAAATCGCATTTTTAAAAAAGACTGAAAAAAACCCCCCATTCCTACCAGAAATGCAAGTGCTCCATTCTTTTAAAAGTTTTTCCAATCCGATGGGAGTGAAGTTGTATCTGACTTTCACTTGATTTTCATTTCGCATACTGTCAGTGAGCCTGAGAATCTTGTCCACCCGGCCATTTGGATTTGCAGTTCTGTGAACTGCCTACGCCCTGTTGCCATTTGCTATTGCTTTGTTAGTGTTTTTGTCATCGATTTCTAAGAGCTTTTTGCATATTTTATTTATTATTTAACATTTCCATTTCAAATATTGTCCCCTGAGCTTTCATTAGTATATCAATGTTACAACATAAAAAATTTTAATAGTCGAATATATCTATCTTTCCTTACTTGGTTCTAATTTTCCTTTTCGCTTACAAAGGTTTTAACAATTCCTAGGCTACATATATGGCCACCTCAATTTTCTGCTGTTTTTTATTACATAAAAAAATTAAGTTTCCCATTTAGGTATTTGATCCACTGGGAATTTGTATCCTAAACTGTTTTAAAGTAAGTAGTTAATTCTTTTGTGTTGCCCATTCACTTTTGGAAACTAGTGAATGTTGTGTCAAAAAAGGCATAAACTGAACACTTTGCAGCCTTTTCCTGCCCTTGAATTTGATATCTTTGGTGTAGGATCTGCGTAAGTAACAGTTTAAAAAAATAATAAAAATTAAAAAAAAAAAAAGATCAAATTGGTCTAATTTTTTGTTAGGTTACAAAATACTGAACAGAAATATCCATTTGTCCTAAATTATATGCATGGACCATCCCAAGTTATGGGATTCAAATAGACTATTTCCTCTGGAAATAATTACAACTTGATTTTCAACAGCTATTATTAAAACTCTAGTATCTAACAATGTAGCATTTGGCCTACATATAGTGTCTCAGATATAACGATCTTATGCAAGATTTCAAACCTATCACGGACATACGATGCCTAAGAATAGCCGAAATAGTAGTCAGCTTTATGTGGCTGCATTAAGGCCCCTAAAATTCCCCACAGCCTGGGGCAGCATATATTGATTTGTAAAGAAGTATTTTACGGAGCACTCAATACTGGATATTGACACAAAGCTGAAACATAAACCACACACTTTCATTTTTCTACGGTCTGGGGTTCCACAGAAAGAGATAAAATCTGTGAAAGCAGACTCTTAGCTCAAGGGAAGAATCAGTCAGTAGCTCCCATCAGCATTTTGTAATTGACTCTTTACCATTAGGAACTGAGCAAGTTGAAGTTCACCAGGTCTGATGACTGTAAATTTAGGATCTTCTCCTGCCTCAGTTAATGGTGAGCAGCTAGTTTTATAGCTGTAGGACGTGTTAAGGGTTGTGATTTTTCAGCCAGGAAAAAATCTGCGAAAGCCTAAGGAGTACAGCTTTGAAGACTGTGAAGTGCAGAGGCTAATAAACCAGTAAGAAAGTACAAAGCAGCAGTGAATCACCAAAATCCCTGAGCTGACATGTTCAAACACGGTAATCGAGAACTAAGCAGACTCGGAAGACCTTGCAGAGAGGGTCGGACAGATCCCAGGTCTCCCGAGATTTGCAGACCCCTTGCACCTTGCATGTACTCACAGGTGCGTGCAGGGAAGGGGAGAAGGGCAGGAAGCGTGCGGGCCAGGTAGGCACGGGGGAGCGCAGGGACAGCCCTGTGTGCCAACACACAGAATGTATGCAAACCACGTCTGTGGCTTATCAGTAAGTGATAATAACATTCATTTTTGAGCTGCTACAGTAGCAAGGGGTCCCAGAGTAATCTGTATGTTCATCCTGCGTGTCATCTATACAGGATACATTTTCAAGCAACTTTGAAATGTAAATTATGTCATTAACTTCAGATGACAATTTCTTCGTCTTACAATTCCCTTTTACTTCTCCACTGGTTACAAGCTAGAAGGAAGGACATTGCTATAGACCCTTCTATTCCAACACTTTCTCAACCCTGTGTCCCTAACGCTGGTACTGGGTGGGAGGTTCTCGGCAGAAATTTCCTGAATGAAACTGGGTGGTCCCCGTGCTTGGGGCGGGAGGGGCTCTTCTTAAATCACCACAAGCATAGCTACCTGTCCCACCTTCTGCATTCCTATGCACTTAGTAAATACCTTAATGACAGTTTGTGCTTATCACAATACATTTTGTTTTCACAGTGTGATTAATGTGCTATACTCGACTGGAAGCTGATCAATAACAGAGACCATATCTCGTGCACAGTCGATGGCAGTAAATGTTTGGTAGGAAGGAAGGAAGAGGAAAGAAGCTGATAAAAACATGTTTCTGGAAACTTTTGGTGATCGGTTTACAACTTTATTTTCACAGGCTACCGTACCTCCTGCTACAGCCCCATCTGTGTCACCTGATTTAATGATCGAGTCCCACCTCTTCAGATTTCCATGATTTGACAAGTTGCAAAACTGATCTTACTAACTTCCTAACGAGTACCTGTTAATTTTTATAGCTGAGAGACGCGCCTGCACTCAACGTGACTCGGCACTTTGAGCGCCTTCAAGGTGACCAAAATCTCCTCGCAAAACAAAGAAACAGACTTAAACCATAGTTTTCCTCACTGTTCATCCATGCGCAAACATTTAAAACATCAAGGAATCAATGTGCCCCAGTACTGGAGCAAATAAACTACTTCACCTCCAGTCAATGACATACCTCAAAGCAAAGGAATGAGGTAGATCTATCTGTAATATCCAAAAAGACCAAGAAAATACAGTGTGAAGAAAGAGTCACAGAACGAGGCATGCAGCATGAGACCACGCATCCCAAACGAAGTGAAAATAACCGGACGTGTGTGATTTTACAAATGCATATGCATATGTAAACTAAATATTTTCAGCCTGAAAGGATATACGCCGAACTTCTAAAAATGAATCCTGCTGAGGAGTTGGCAGTGGTTTTCACTTGACATAATTCTGACTATCCAACTATCACATGGGAAGAAGGTATTCGTGTACTGCTTGTATAATTGTTCTATATGAGAAAGGGAAATTCTGAATGCCTACTCCCGTGCATTGTACCAGACACCTTATATGCTTTGTCCCCTTTCCTCATCCTGACAAAGTTATGAGGTTG